CGTGGACCTTGAGACAGGTTTTGCATTGAAAAATAATCTAGCTTCGTTACGCTTTGTCATATTTAGAGAGTATTGGATAGCTATGAGAATGTTTATATTGAGTGGCTGTAAGCATAATGATTCATATTGTAACTTGTGAGTCATCTTATGCAATGACGTTTCGGTAAAATTAGTTAGTTTGGAAATTATTTTATTTTTTCATTACTTGTTGGGTCAGTGAAGACAGTGGAATGACGAAAGAAAACACACTGTTCTTACCGTCCTGTTCATCTTTTTTTCTTTTTTGAACTTGTTTAAAGCATGACGTCACAAGCCACAGTCAGAGGGGTTTACTGCTTTATAAGGCCTTAGTCATCCAGTACACGAGAAGCTTTCTGTCGTAAGTTCTAAGGGCTGACTCTGTGAATTGATTATCTCGTCAAGAATGGCATGGCATTAATCCGCCTTCCATCCCACTCTGAAATTATCTATTGCTGTTCTATGTAATAACGATACCCCCCGTGTAGAGCGAGCGGTAAAGAATAAGTGATTCTGGTTACGAAATTACCATGTTATACCTAAGATACGAGAAAGAACAGGATTGTATAAGATCTATGTGCATAAGTTATGTGTGTGTTTATGTCATGTGTGTATATATATAAATAACAGTGCGTGCCGCCTAATATTTTATATGACAAATGATGTGATTGTCGTAAACTCACAGCTCTAGTAGTTCGTGTCACACGAGTAAAGCAAGCATTAATAAATGCAAGAGAGACTATTCAAAGTGGTTTAGTCTCAATTTGAAATATTTCTAAAATATAATATTAGATGTAAACTTTAAGATAACGAAAAAAACGTTAACACTGAATTTTATCTCTACTACTAAAATTCCGCTGTAGAGTTAGAAGATATTTCATTGGTGTTGTTTCTTTGAAGCTAGATTTAATTCACTTGTAGATATTCTTCCAGAAGTAGGAGTAGTCTTATCTCTTTCGTTGCCTATGGTTTCCTTCTCAACGTTTACTTCTGTATATCCTGCAGTTTTACAAAAAAAAATATATCACTGTTTCCACAAACGTCCTGTTTTTTTAATTACGTCATTTGTTTGTTTTTATTTTCCCCAAAGCTTTAAATTTTCAACTTCGAATTCATAAGTTAAGGGAGCTGAGATGCTGATCTAAATGGCAGGACTTTAAGCTAGTCCGTTGACTTCATTCCGAGAATTTAGAACAGCTTAGTTATTTCATATCGTAATATCTTTATTTCCTCCCTCAAGTTGGGAGATTCGAGGTTTGTTTAAGTAAGTTATTCCGAACTTACAGCTATATTTGTAGATTATCTAGCTATTCTTTTATTTCGCCCCCAATAGGTCACCCATTAAAAAAAAAAAACAGGTTTCGATACCCATGGTAGATAGGCACAATACAGATAGCCCATTGTGTAGTTTTTGGGCTTAACAACAAAGTTTTTATTTCAGTCGCCATACGCAATTTTTTATTGTGTTGATTTATATTTATATGTTTTGCTGTTAAAAAGTTTTACGTTTTTCATCCTTCTGCTGTTTTCATGTAATATTTGCGTGTTTTATTTTTGTTGTTTTTGTTGTTGTGTTTTGTAAATTAAGTTTAAAAGTTGATAGTATTAGTCATTAAAGTGTCTTTACATGATCATTAGACACTAACACGTTTTGACATATCGTAAATTGTATAAGGACAATTTGTATACATTAACCAGCATGTAGTCACAATAGTTATCTTAACCATTCAGAGATGACTTATATTTTCTAATTCTCTGTTGCTCAATAAGAACGCGACTCCTACTGGACTAAATTAATGGAACAGCTCTGTCAGTATATCTTCTTTATATATATTATTATTATTATATAGAGCACTAACATCTATGTCTCTGTTTGTTTGTCCGTCATCTAACTACTCCTAGGTCGCTGGACCAATCTCAAACAATCTATGTGGGATGATAGTTTGGAACAAAGGTCATGTTACTGTGGGGTTCACAACTCATCCGCCCCTTATTATTACTGTTATTGAGTATTTATTATCTTTGACGTAATTTAACGTTAATTACATTCATAGATGGCGCTACATCCTTACACCGAAAATTAAAATCTTTATTAAATTTTCTATAACATAACACATACAGTGTAGGGGAGTGGCACACAAACGTCTTATATATCTCAAACAGTGCGCTAGCACTGTCTATGGAGGAATGCAATGGGAAAAAATGGCCGTCATTATTGCAGTAACTCAGCTGAAGTTTTTACTCCAACAGCAACCATAGGGCTGATAAGAAGAACCGTATTTTGAGTTATACCCACTTCCTACTTTGACCCGTGATCTTTCAACTTTAGCCCATAAGACACTTCTGCGGCCAATGACTGTCTATTAATTAATCAGGTGAAACACTGTGAAAGGGCGTTAAGAGCTGGGTATTAAAATCGCCTCTACCGCCACTACTTTCGCCGCTACCCCTTCCTACAGTCACCCTGACAATTGCACAGTGTATACCATGTTTTAAGTATATACATATTGAGCTCATAAAGCTTATACCAAACTTTTGGTGAAGTAATAATGAATACTGTAATAATATGTTATCATAGCATCCATCCACACATTGTTTTTACGTTCATAACCCGGACAAAAGACGGATACCTCTGCTTGTCTAAAATATGAGTCATCTATGCACGTATTGTTATCATGAATGTTTCACGTTACTTACAAATATAATGTCTTCGTTTTTTATGTGAAAATACTGTAAAAAACAAACAAAAATATCTTAAATTTGAAGCAACTTTATCCTTTGTTCAAAAACCCTAGTTTTATGAACAGTCTAGTTTTAGCTCTCTTCAAACATCCTAAACTTCAAAAAGACAAAATCGATTAAAGTTTATAGTCACGCAAGGACGATGAGATGATCTGCTCTTCCCCCAAACTTGGTGACCAGTAAATATTTCACGCATGCTAAGAACTATTCAGTAAACGTTGGAGGAAAACTTTAAACGAATAATTGTAGAATCTACTATATAATATCACGCTATGTTGTAGATTTTGTATCTCTGTTTTTTTGTCTCATAAATACTTTTTGTTTTAAAATGTTTATCTACAGGTGTGTACATTGTAACTTGAATTCAATGAAAATTGGTATGTAAATACAGCAGATGCATTACTAATAAGTATATGATATACCAAATAATAATAATATATTCTGAAGAGTAACTTTAAAAAAATATTGCGTTTACAACTGAGACATATAATCAGCCCAGTAACTTGCCTACGATATTATATTGTTGTTCAATAGGCAAGAAAAAGATGGCATGTCTGTTGCCAGACTAATTTTAAGTATCTTGTTGACAATGTTACATAGTTGATGGGAACCTAATATTCAGTTCGAGCTGAGAAATATGTTATCAGTTATAAATAAATACTTATAAATAAATATTGAATTGAGAAGTATCGACAGCGACTCTATATAAATATGTCACATTGTATAGTATATCTATCAGTCAATGACATATATTATCAGCTCTTCATTATTACACAGTTAAACTGTGTAATACAGAATCTGAATACTGACTTTATGTCACACATTAGTTCAGTTATCAGACCCAATATTTAGTATAAATTTTTTGTTATCAGTTCCATTATTAGCAGGTATTAAAAAAACAGGCTAACGACGAAACTAATTTTATGTTACATTATGGTCCTGAAAGTATAGTGACAGAAGAACTCACAAATTATTCAGTATATATGGCTATTGTGTCTTTCGTTATAGCCTTTTGTAGCATCTATTAGTCTGTGATGTTGAATGTGCAGTATTGCAAATACATGAACGTTCTGGTATATTAATGTATGGACCTAAACAACAAATGACTTGTGTTATCATATATTTTATGAGAATTAAACCTGTTCTATTCTCTCTTCACAGTTAGTTTCATTAAAATTTATTGGTTCAAATGAAAGATAAATTTTTGAATTATAATTCAATAGGGCTCACACTAAACTGATTTGTTTTGGAAGTAACAAATATTCCCTAGTTAGCAGTACAAACTGTAAACTCAGAAAATTATTTTACATTCTTTGCTTAGCACTTTAATGTAGGACTAATTCAAATCTCCTAAGATGGACGAATCTTGTGAGATATTATTAGGATTACGGTCGAAGATGTCGTTAATAGCGAGGGTACGTCAATGCAATCTAGTTATTATATGTTTCTGTATTGTTTTGTAAAATAAGACATTTTAACCAGTTTTCTATACAGAACTGTATTAATTTTACTTTTAATCAGTTTAGTTGGTCTACTTTTGTTCAGAGGTTCATAGTACTTTTACGTACTATTTAACCTGCTCAGTTTCTTGTTACGAACACCAACGCATTGTTTAAACGAAATGATAAACTTAGGCCTCTGTAAAACCATATTAAGTTTCGATTAAACTGAGTACTAATTTCCTTGGACAGTTTAGCATTTCCAACTAACACACAATGTTCGTTTATGTTTATATTTATGTATTAACATGTTGAGCTAATAATATTTTTATGTTACCTGCATAATTACTTTTACTTACGCACTTTTCTCAAATAAGCTAGGTATTTAATACTATAACGTTCGGTCAAATAGTAGCATAGAATGGAGGGATTGATGAATATGTTTCCTTTTCTGTTCAATTTAATGCCATTATATTTGCTTAGAAATAAACAGCTTTATGCCTTCTGGATCACTATGTCGTTTTTTTATCTAATACGTTATTTTAACTTATCGAAATAAAGAAGCCTAGTACATATAACTTAAAATACTGGTGACAATGAGCCACTACCTATACCTCACTACGTTTAGTTCTGGTTTTGGTTTTGTTTCGGAGTAAAATTCATGAATAAGTTACAGGTTTCGTAAAAACTGTAGGTTGTTATTAGCTCTTACATCTACGTTGTTTATTTTACTTAGCCCAGAAATTGATATAGGTGCAGACATGTACGCTTATAAGTCTTTAAAATATTGTTTGATTTTAGCCGTGGATGGGCGATGGACTTCTTGGTCATCCTGGTCCACCTGTGGACTAGATTGTAAGCATCACCGTAGAAGATCGTGTACCAGTCCGAAACCTGCAAATGGAGGACGTTACTGTAATGGGAAAGACCTAGCAACTGGCAACTGTACAGGAGGCATGTGCAGAGGTAAGACTCCACGCGTATGTCTACTACGATAAAATGATTTCATTTTGTTTCTGAAAATGCAAATTAGTATTCAAGTTAGTTTTAACTTTGGTAACAAACAGATGAACCAAGTCGCAAGTCTCATTAGCCAACGTGATATTGAATTCAAACGTACTTAACACTATCGACTTGATAAAACTTTTCGAATTTTTGAGATTTTTAAAAACATATATACTCCCATTATACAGAGGGTTGAGCACTTTATACTGGAACGATTTTGGAACCTCATTTCGTCTTTACTGTCCGTGTCACCATGTCTGGTCTGGCTCCATCTGACGATCGTGTATCTGGACAATAGCTCTGCAGCGTAGTTTCCATTGCAAAATGCTCTTTCGTAAAGCTTTTATGTCCGAAACACATCTCTCCTCCTTGCATACTTTCCAAAAGCCACTTAGCTTACGAGAGCGACGGTTTCTCAGTGCCCGTTTCAAGAATCCAATCGCACAGAACTCCATATGCATGGCATCTCAGCGACCTGACTGGTATGTCTTCGTATGGAATAGTATCACTACTCGTTACCTGGATCACATGGACTGCTTTTGCCACTGATCTCTGTGTTCGTAAATGCTAATCTTTGCTTACCAGAGCTGGGGTAGGACTTGTTGTAGGTCTCTTTCTGGATGGCCTGGCATCACAAGTTAATCCATATGCCTTTTATTTTCAGTGTCATTAAGTACAAGGAACATCCTTCTCTTAGAAATTCTAAACCCGATCTATATGATCTAATTGTATAGCTGTTTTGCGTCAAAAAGGACCGTTACATACATACCCTTTCCAGAAACAATCAATTTTCGGTGACATCACACTGCCTACAAAACGCCAAACAATGACAAAATATCATTCTGACACATACCGTTCCATCCCCCTTTATATCAACAGTGACTCGTGACTTGCTGATTTGCATATTCAAACTCATTTTAATATAATATACCCTCTGTATACATTGCACAACAAGGTTTTCATCAATTACAGTGGTTTTAAACACACAAGGAAAACTTTTCATTTCATGACTGAAGGGTTTCCTCAAACATGTATGAAACGCATCCAAATATTATTTTTTGTGCTTGAAACTTAATAAAATGCAAACTACACATAACAAACAAAGTTTCAATTATTAAACGTATTTTGATGAATTGTGCAATTAGTATTTGTACAAAAAAATGATTGTATCATGAAAGTCAAAACGAAAAGAGGCAAATAAATATTGTTTTCAAAAAATTACTACGTGAACATGGAACTCTTGAAAGGTTTCGTTTAAGTATGAAGTGTACACAGAAAACATTCAATACTATTAAAAAGTACGAATTTTTATACAAGAAAATTGGAAATTTTAAAAGAGATTATAAATTATACACAGGAAATCAAAAACCATTTCAATAAGTATGAAGTGAACAAGGATAAACACAAACTATTCAAACAAAACAGCAATACAGTATTAAGTTCACACAGGAAAAACTATTTCAATAAAGTACAAAAGATACACAGGACAACATTAAATATTTACACCCAGTCTGCGAGTGAATGAGACCGAATTCTGGGGATTAGGTAACCACAGAGGGATGTCACTGTTCCCGCTATTTAAATTAGAATAAATAAATTTACTGTGATAAAGGACTAAGTCTGTTAATCGTGGGTTTGCTGGACTGTGTTCCTCATTCACAGAATAGTAGAACTTTTCATATTGGCGTACACTTCAAACAGGTACCGTACTTAGCTACCTGACTTCGGCAGGTAAGCTTCACTGAGCCTTTATCGGCTATCACTATGAGCAGAACTCACGAAACCCGCAGAAAAAAAAAACAAAAAAAAACGATTGTATAGAATTAATAAACCGGATTTTGTTTTGCGAAACATGCGTGGGATTTTAAACAGGAGCCTTCAGAGCCTGGAAATTAGCGTGAATTCGGATACGCTGGTAGGCAATTCAGATTCTAGATATCGCAAGGAGTTCAAATCTCTATTCAGAACATAAGAAAAGAAAGTCCCGGATTTGATAATCAACTCATCAAAAATATCTATCTAATTCGCAGATTAATTTTTACATAGGAAAACATGAACTGTCTGAATAAAATATGAAGTGTACGTAAGAAAATATGAGGTGTCGCAATACAGGTGGACTTGTATTTAGGAAAACATGAAATACTTCAACAGCAATACAGGTGGACTTGTATTTAGGAAAACATGAATTACTTCAACAGCAATACAGGTGGACTTGTATTTAGGAAAACATGAAATACTTCAACAGCAATACAGGTGGACTTGTATTTAGGAAAACATGAATTACTTCGACAGCAGTACAGGTGGACTTGTATTTAGGAAAACATGAATTACTTCGACAGCAATACAGGTGGACGTGTATTTTGGAAAACATAAAATACTTCAACAGAAATACAGGAGGACGTGTATTTAGGAAAACATGAAATACTTCAACAGCAGTACAGGTGGACGTGTATTTAAGAAAACATGAAATAGTTCAACAGCAATACAAGTAGACGAGTATTTAGGAGAACATGAAATACTTCAACAGCAAAATAGGTGGACGTGTATTTAGGAAAACATGAAATACCTCAACAGCAATACAGGTGGACGTGTATTTTGGAAAACATAAAATACTTCAACAGAAATACAGGAGGACGTGTATTTAGGAAAACATGAAATACTTCAACAGCAGTACAGGTGGACGTGTATTTAAGAAAACATGAAATAGTTCAACAGCAATACAAGTAGACGAGTATTTAGGAGAACATGAAATACTTCAACAGCAAAATAGGTGGACGTGTATTTAGGAAAACATGAAATACCTCAACAGCAATACAGGTTGGACGTGCAATTAAGAAAACATGAAATACTTCAACAGAAATACAGGTGGACGTGTATTTAAGAAAACATGAAATACTTCAACAGAATGCGAATTAAACACAACCACAATTCCTAATACTTTTCTAACTCCACATACGTAACTGGTTCAATGGCTTCTTGTAAAGGGCTGCATGAATAATATTTTAGTAACTCTGAATACCAGATGTCATTAAGTCTCATCTCAAATTTTAAATGATTATATAAAAAACACGCTAAGAATGTGGGAGAGAACAGTGTAATAGACAGAAATCTATAAGTGAGGTCTGTTACTTTTGGATGAAAAGGGAATGAGTGGCGAAGCCATCTCGGCAAAATGGTGTAATATTTGCTGAAAATGGCGCACATGGTGTCTGAGGGTGCAATGTAGGGGTGGAGGTGATCACACCCGCTGCGTCTTTCTTGCCTACGTGCATGGATAACGGGAAGAAACATCACAACAAAGCTGTAATTTCTAAAGACTTTATTCCAAAGTAGGGAAGTACGCGTTTCCAGGAAGAACAATACATTAACACAACTTAAATAACACAGTTGAAACGTAACTGCAAGTTTGTCATCGACAAATCTCAATTAGTATGAAATCACATAGAAAGTAGTTGAGAGTTCTGTTACACATGACTGTGAAGACGTCCAAAAGGAAACTTCCCACAAATAAATGTAATAGTGTAAAGGAAATTCCTTCTATGTTACAATCATAAGATTTTACATTATAAAGCTAATTTGTAATGAAAGTGACAAATTTAATACTACTACAACATGATATATATGTATATACAAACACACTTTAAATATTTCGTAACAACTCACAAGCTTATTAGAGGGCGCTCTGGTAAATATCAGTCACTTTACACTGTGTATTCCTTTGTAATTTTTCAAACCACACACCCCATTGTTAAGCTTTGAAAAGATTCATTTATTACGTATATTTGTGGCGGCCCGTTCTGCATTCCCTTTTCGACTCCACTGCGTAGCTAGTAAATCAACCAATTCTAAGAGCATATATTGTGTTCCTGCAAAACGAAGCTTCCATGGTTATCCCATGCGGCTTTTAACCTTTGAGTAGGCTTTAATAGCCTCCTACCTCTTGTTTTTGTTGTTTTATTTGAAATCCACAGACACTCATCTTTGCTGGTGTATTTGAAAATGCTCCAAGTCAACATTTATGCACAGATGCAAGGTACTTTATACGAACACCAGTAACTACATATACTATACTTTATACGTGGACTATCCAAGAAAGATAAGACTTTGAAATGTTAGTTTTACAGGCACTGAAGGAGACGTAGAAGAAAATTGATTTGTACTGCTTTTCTTTTATGTAGAGAATTAATATTTAAAAAACTCTTTTCTCACCAGAGCATCGAAGCTTGAATTATTAATCACTTCTCACAAGTTTGATGATCACGACTCGGCACCTTTATATCTTATCTTTGAACAGTTTCTCGTGCCAACCTTTTTATATAACATGAAAGAATGTCATCAGCTCACGAATCGTTTCATGGTTATGGGAACTTTGTGTGCAGTAAAATATTCTAGCTGAAAATATAGAGTCAACCATGAAAACACATCCTGTAAAATGAAAAAAACCTAACTTTTGGTATCTTGTTCGAATTCTTAATAAAATACATAAAGCCAAACATGCGTATGCACCCTGCAGAAAGAAATGAGATGAATTTACACCATCTTTCATACTCCCAAGCCAGAATAAATGCTTTTAACTGTAAATAGCTAGTAATAGATAGCTACAGTATGCACCAAAAGCACGCGCCAAAGATGTCGATACGCATGTTGGAATTGTATACATATTAGTTTTTTACAGGAGTTTGAAATGTTATTCTTCAACAGTAATTTTATCATCAAAAGTAATTTTAGTTTATTCAGTAACCATTTCTATTGTATTTTTAAAATACAGTAATAATTTTTAAAGCTCTTGAGAGAGTGTTTATGTTTAACATTGCGGTCAAAAAGTCCCCATCATGATCTACAGCTTTTTAAAAGTCCTCATCATGATCTACAGTTATCATGATCTACAGCTTTTTAAAAGTCCTCATCATGACCTATACCTTTTGAAACGTTTTGTTACTGTGTATACATATTTTCAAATT